AGTCAGTCACCCAGGTCATAGTGCAGTTGAGAGAACAATAAAACGTGGTCTGTTTGTCGCCCGTACGTTCGCCCCGACACGCGTTACTGCGCCGCGTGCGACCATGCGCCTGCGCAACTCAGCCGCCCGAACTAACAATAGAAATTGCTTCAAACACCTACATATGCCTTAGAAAATATGAGTTCCTAGTACTTTTATTGGTAATTCTAATTTCCCATATCGGGGCGGGGTTGCCGAAGGAAGTTATGGGAGCAGTAACCCCAGAGGAGCAGATAGAGTAAACTTGTAATCAAATCTTTACAAGCCTCTTATCCAATCAAGTTTCGCTTCATTTTATACCATTTAGCCATCGTTGTTGATTTAAACATTGACTCCGTGAACTTGCCCAACATGATAATAAAACGCAGAAACTAGTCCTGCCAGTCCCGCCTGGATATAACACGCCGAGCTTAATATTGAAAGTGTCTGAAAACTAGCAAAACTGATTAAAATGTAATATGAGAATATAATATATATTCTTTATCGTATTATATTTCTATAGAGTATATGGATATTTCTTGTTTGTATTTTGTTTATTATTGTTATTTTAATATTTGCTGCAATATCGCATTGGGTCTAGCCTGTAAGGATATTTGTATGTTATGTGTGTAAATAAATAAATAAATAAATAAATGAGGTAAATGGACTGCGTAGGTGTTAGTAGGAATGTATTAAAAATAGAATCGACCCTCCATTAGGCAATGATTTGAAGTTAACTATAACAATTTTACGATTACGGTCGTCCCTAATTGAGATAGTTATAATTTCCTTCACGCAAGACTTACCTACTTGACTTATCAAAAAAGCAATTTATAATAGGGTAGTTCTTAAATTTTATTTTAATGTCCGTTTGGTACATTAATTTAAAACTTTAGACACGTATTTTTTCTTTTCTCACAAAATTAAATACTTGCGACGATATAATTTGAAATATCGTGTGACGTCACAGCGTGTCACATTTTGTAGCACGTTATGACGTAACGACCTCCTAATCTTAAACTTAGCGCCATTTAATCTAAGTATTGCAACTTAATACGAGAAAATAAAAAAATACGTGTCTAATATTTTTTCATTATTTAACTGACGGACTAATTAGATTTTTAATTTTGATAGGTACCCTGGAAACTACCCAATTACGGGAACATTAGGAATAAACATACAAACGTTGAAATAGAAAAACAAATATTTGATTTGAAAGAGAATGCTTTCTGTTATGGATATAATGGTTGCTTACAATAACATTTTTCATTCTCCTTTTCTTTTCTCAATCTCATGTTAGGATCGATACTATAGTCTAAATTTAAAAGCCTTCTTTTCAAACAAATGAAATAAACTCCGATGGCGATTTAATATAAAAAGAATTGCTGTAAAAACGGCTGAATCAATTAGACAGTCGTCAACTCGCGATTAGTTATCTATGCGCGACACGTAATCAATTTCCCTATTCCCTCTCGATCCATTTACTTAACAACTGAATGATGGAATATATTAAGAAACATTTAGTCGATTTCCTAAATAAATAGGAATTAAATAGATAAGTATTCTACGTTTACAATGCCCAAATAGGTACTTTGCAATTAAAACCCATTTAAGATTAATGCAAATTATGGACCATGTGAAAGCAGGTGACGAGAACCAATGGAAATCGTATGACAAAGCGAGTGCTGAATTTGAAAAGATGGAAAAGTAGAGTTCGATTAAAAAAAAATTGATTGCATATGTGATGAAGGCTAAATTACATATGAGAAAAGATTTGTTGTTAGGAACATTGGATGACGATTCTTATAGAGAAAGTATAACAATTAAAAAACCGACTTAAAAAAACCAAAAACTAATAAAATAACAATCAAAAAGTCAAAACTAAAAAGAAAAAAATAACTATCATTAGTACTGATAGGTTACCTCCTCCTTTTTTTTTTTGAAATCGGTAAAAAGCGAATGAACTATAAATCATGATAAAAGTATGTACCTACATACAAATTGCATAACATGACGAATGCTCCTTAAATTTAAAAAAGGCAAGTTAAAAAAGCAAGTTACCATGAACACCCCACGTTCAGGAAGGCGTTGACATTGTCTTAAACGCACACACTTCAGTGTTGCCGTACGAAATTAATTTTTCCCGCGTTCCCTTGAACGTGCGCACTCAATTAGCGTAATGAAATTGTGCCCGCTTAGTGATGACAATCTAACGGCTTACATCGACATAAAGGAGGTTCATACCCTTCCATCATGAGCCTTCTCTCCGTGTGTTTTGAAGTCATTTTAATTTTCCTTGTAGGTAAGTACCTACTTGAACTTCAAGTAGTACGTTGGTTTCTATTGAAGAAATTAATTTTAAAGTCGTAATGTCTGTGGTTTTATTCCAGGAACAGGTAAGTTATAGTTATATGCTTGAACAGGTGCCTATGTCTTAGTTCCGTGATATCCTGAAATCCCTAACTCCCAAAAGGCCAGCAACGCACTTTGAAGTCCAATGAATATTGTGAAGGGCCGCGACATTTAATTTTTTACCATCAGGTTGTGTGTACGTTCTTTTTGCCAGCCTTATACCATAAAAAGAAACCATATTAACTTAACTGCATCCTAACTACTTCATGAGTTATTATAGGGTGATATTTTAAGTTTTTTTTTTCTTTAAGAAACATTGCCCCACACTAGGATATTCTCCTGTGTCGTGGGTGCGTTTACAAACATACAAGTTCACATACACATGAAACCCAGACCCAGAACAACAATCTGTGGATCACACAAAGAGTTGTTCCGTGCGGGAATCGAAACCGCGACACGTTGCGAGGCAGTCAGTTGCCCAACCACCGCACTAACCGACAACCGTGCAGTCGTATAAGTATAAATATACTTTAAATAATGTAGGTAACGCTTTACCAAAACACAAGAGCTCGTACCTATACAGATAGGTACAGAAGTAAGTTTGCAACAAACAGATTCCACTTTAACCATACATGTCTTTCTATAACGGATACGACGGTGCCTTAGACAAGCAATTACATAAATTAAAACGCTTCCCGTGTCGTCTCCATAGAGTTATGTTGTGTACAGAATAAACAGACAACTGTCATTAGACGATGCCGCTGGCGATATTCAAATCAATGAGTCACGTAACATTGGTGCTGGACTGGTAACAATCTCTTTGCTGCCTTATAATAATAGGGATCGCATTTAGTTTCCTTCTGTACGGAATTTAATGCAAAAAGTTTTGATTGTGTCTAGGCTAGGTATAAGGAAACTGTTTCATTAAAGAAAACCGTTTGAAATGATCAAGATTTTACTCATTATTTTTATATCAAAACTTTCGTGAGACACACTAAATTAATTATTATGTTTTCAGCTTACTCACGTAATTGTTTGATGAGGAAAGCTCGACTAGTTTGAAGCCATGTTAAAGGACCAACAGCCAACAGCCAACTAACAACAACACCAGCCATGAACTAGCTCGTCGAGTACCGTCTTCGTAGACACAATTATAGAACAATAGGTTGCGGTCACCGGTGACCGCTTTGTGTTTGACAGTTTAAGAGTCAATTATGTATAACTTACCTTCCTATACATAAATCTATATATTATCAGAGATATCGTTAGTAACCAAGAACGAACGAAAGAACAAGACCAACAAAAATAAATATGTAACAGTTATATTAATTACCTAATTAGTAGCTTTTAATATATAGAAAGTACAGCCCTGTACTTAAAACATCAGTAATTTTAAAACTTCATACCCACTCAGGGTTCTCATTTTGCCACAATTTACAATGTTTTATGCTGCCATCTTTTTATTGCAGAGGAAATTTTTAAGTTTAGTACAGCGCCATCTATCCTATATTTTGGGTACCATGTAAACCCCTTGAACTATTGTTAGTTCTTTTTATTACAATTGCTGTATGTTTTTCAGTGGCGCTAGTAGCAACATGAAAGTGTTACCAATTTATAATAAATCTACTATTTTAGAAAGTTTTTAGTCTAAATAATAGCTAATCTACTTGTGCGGGGCAATAGCGTAAAAAAAGCAGACATACCGACTATACTGTTACAACAACTATAGAGATACACGCAAAACATAAATATATTGACACGAAGGACGTCTGTCATTTTATTAAGTTTAGTAACGTGGTAAACCATTACAACCGCACGTATAAATAAACTACTGTCATATTGGTTCATTTGTAAGTATCATTAGTTCAAAATCAAACCAAAATGTAAATAACTAAAACATTGTATATTAATATTTTATTTAAACTAATTTTGAATTTGATCTCAGCAATAATGTTTTTTATGCTAAATTAGACATTAAAAGTAGATTTAAAACTACCTAAGCGTAATGTTTATGAAAATCTGTTATGACGCAAAGTGAAGGCCATAGATTATCTATTGTGCTTTTTTAACAATACACAAAATATATAGACTTGTTTTAGACTAAAATTCAAACTTATATTAATTCAAACTTAATATTAGATTTACGCATCGATTGGCATTGGTATCGTTAATGGTAGAAAAAAATAAGCAATCGGGGCAACACCGTGTATTATATTTGACAGTTTCAATGTTGACATATAAATCAATACTCCCCGAATTTAGGGTAACTAAAAAAACATGAAAGATATTCTCACTTGATAAAATGAATAACCTCCAAATAGTAAATCAAAATTTATAACTCAATCTGAGACAAAGTAATCATAAAAGAATTAGACGCAGTTTGAAAATGTTTCAACTTAATTTTAATCAGATAAACAATTAGTTTTATTTTGCATTTCTTTTTAAGTATTTCAAACATGCTATAATATCAACGTAAATGAAAGTATTGAAATTAATACATTTTTTTTTTCAATTATTGTCTGTATTGTTTAACGAGACGTAATTTGGGGAAATATATATTTGCCCGCTGGTATCACTGAATAAATGACGTTTCACCATCCGTTCCGTGCCGTTTGTTTTGTCAAGCAACTTGCTTCAGTTGTCAAAAGTATTTTTGTGAGCACTCGCGAGTGAAAAACGGTACTGCTTCCTAATTACCGTTTTAATTAAAATACGATTGTTTATTACTTAGTTATAAGCTACACGTAATTAAAACATACAGGTAAATAATGAAATTCGCGTCTTAAAGTGACTGTAATAAAAAATACGTTAGTATTACAATAAAAATCAGTTTAATATATCGACAATGGTGAAAGATGGACGTAAATATCGGTCGTTGTCGATCTAACTTATCGTTTTGACTCCGACGCTTTATGAAATGTGAACAAGTGCAACAGAAATTAAGGATTTTTTGAACCGCAGTAAGTATAGATTGATATATTATTTTTGTGACAATGCGTACTTTGCAGATACGTCGTGTTTTCTTATCGCCTTTCTCCAAGCGGTAGGCACTCAAAGAATAGGTCTAGTTGTTAGAATCTGCAAATAATATAGGCATTGTTTTATTTAATAGTGTTGGAAAGTGTTACGAGTAATAACGAGAGTACTTTCTTTCATTTTTGTACTATTTGAGGGGTATTCCGTGTTTATCGTAGTTGTTATTATTATTTTTATTATAATGTGTAGTAAACATTCCTAGATAGCTTATCTTATTAATTATGACATATTTATTAATTGAAAAGTAAGCATTACAATAAAAATACTGGCAGAGACAGAACACTGTGCAGCCTTTGATACAAGCTCACACTTTTTAATTCCAAAGGTATAGGCAGGCACATGCATAATGCAATAAAACATCATATTTTCAACAGTTATCTTTTAAGTCCCAAGTAGTTAATAATAAGGGTAAATCTAATAATGAATTAAATTGTGAGTATTCAAATAAGTAAATATGTATTAATCATGCTATGAAAGAGTGTGTTAACTATTTGTTGCCATTGCCATTTAAAACAAGCAGGAAATAGTTTTTATCAAATCTGGTTTAATGGTTCTTGAGATTAGTTCAAACAAACTAATAGATAAGGATAGTGTCAATGTTACAGTTTTGTTTCAGTTATCATGATTTATGTTTGCAAATTGTTAAACTTTATTTTATTTCTAGTTATATTTTGATTATGGTATGCACAACACTGTTTTTATGTTAACTAAAGTTTAACAGTAATTAAGTAATATTGTCTTCACATCTCTTCTAAATAGTTAGCTAAAATGTTGTTGATATATCTAACTGAGTAACAGGACCTTACAAGACTAGGGAAGCCTTGAGAACCTCCTTTTTTCAAAGTCAGTTCAAATATGTACTTTGAACCCATTCAAATATGATTGATATTCAAAATCTAATTAGAAAACAAGAAATACCTAGAATACTACTATTCTACTCTTATACAATCTCTTCTTAGATTATGGTATTAACCTTCAAAAAGATAATAGCATAGTAAAAGATTAAAGTTTGTACCTACTCAAGTAAAAAAGATAAGATAGAGTTATCAAAACAATAATAAAAAAAAATATGCAAATGTCTAAGAAATATATTGTAGTGTTTAAAACTGTCAGGATGTGACCTTTTTGGGGACAGTGTAGGTGTTGAACTTAAAGTATTAGGTAGGTATTTACGTATATTTGCAAATCGTGGTTAGGCAAAAAAGAAGACGGTCTGAGATCCAATCAGCACAGTAATTTATTATCTTAGCAATCAAACTTGTAACATCATTGTTTGACGGTTGCATTAGCACTAACTGCACTTATGTAAAAATAGTTTTCATACAATGAGCCCAATTTAGAACCTAATTAATTTTTTAAGGTGTAAATACTTGAGTTTTTATTTATTTACTAGCTTCTGCCCGCGACTTCGTACGCGCAATCCCGTTGCTTCCCGTTCTCGTAGGATTTTTAGGATTCTTTCTATCGAAAAACCTTCTCCTAATAATAACAAATACAGCAAAAAATAATTAGTGATTAGGTCCAGGCTCGCGTGATGCCGTGAGCAAGGGAAAAAAATTTTGTGTGATCATAACTGGATATCAGTTAGGTATATTTATAATGGAAATAACTATTTAAATTACCTATGTAATTTATAGTTCACTGTGCATGTTCTTAGTCCATCTTAACAATCAAACTTAACAGTTGCTCTAGCAATAACAACCAGTCTTCATTTAGGAAATTTAATAAAAAACACAATACACCATCTATTTGCAGTTCTTACAAACAACAAAAAAGTTATTAGTAAAGTAATGAATAACGAACATGCATTCTTGTATTTCTATTGTGTGTTCGAAATCAATCAATTCCATTATTAGGTAACCACCGCATCGTCTACTAAATCCCTGAGTTTTGTAAAAAATACAATGTTACCTCAAATTGATTCCTCCATTCAATACTTTGTTATGCAAATTATATAAGCACTCACATAAGTCATAATCTAAGTTTATTGTAATACTTAAATTAATGCATGCGGATCTTGTGTTGACAGGATTATAATAAGAAGTCTGATTAAAATTAATTTTAATTAATTTGTATCAATATTTGACAGTTAATCTTATTTATGAGTTCGTAAATTTTGTTTAGGTGTTAAAAACAAGATTACTTCCAATATTTAATTTTAGCATAGGTATGTGTCTTAGCAATAGTCTCCTTAGCAGGAACCGTTAGTTCTAATGCAGGAGTCAGGCAACATTTCTCAGATTTTGGGATGGAATATCAGCATGCTGAATGCTGCTTGGTATACCAATGCCTAGTGTCGTCGTGGCCCGGCGTTTAAAACGCCTTCTCATGCATGAGGGTGCAGGTTCGAAACCCACCAACAGCAAGTACCAATGGGACTTTTTCCGAGTTATACCTATGTACTTTCTAAGATTATTTAGACACCACTGACAAACGGTGACGGAAAACATCGTGAGGAAACCTGTGCTTATAATTTCTAACTATAAATTTGAAATCGCCAACCCGCATTGAGCAAGCATGGTGATTAATGCTCTAACCTTCTCCGTGTGGGAAGAGGCTTTGCTCAGCAATGGGCATTTATAGGCTGTTAATGATGATGATACCTATGCCTAGCCTTCGAAGAATGCCGCTTGATGTATGCTATGATTAGCAATTAGCAATCTCTATTTCGTTCCTAATAAATCAATTGATATAACTAACAGTTCTTTAGTACCGCAGAGGTATGGATAACAATAGGCAGAGTCAACCATAATAAATGTACCTACCTAACAATGACTTTCTCCAGTTTGATACCCTTGCGCATTTACTAAGCATTTAAAAAAAATCCTCCAAAACTGCTCGGCTGTCCATGCGAGTACTCAACTAACGAGGCAGTTTAATACGACTACATAATAATTTGATTCTTAATGGTACTGGATGGTACCGGAAGACGTGGCGTGGGTAGTATACATGCCGCTCCCATCTGGGCCGACAATCTGGTGAAAGTTGAGGGATTTCGCTGGATGCGAGACTTGCTGTTCTTCGTAGAGAAACACTACGATGACGGTATAAAATATGCCTGTGTTCATTAGCCGAATGAATAGTTTTTTAAATAACTTGTGATCTTTTATCCGTCATACCCTTATAACAAAATTATCTTACTTGCTTCAGGTACACGGCTCGGCCATGGCTGACGAGTCTAGCGTTCGTGTTGCTGTCAGGTAAGCCAAAATCTTTTTATATTTTAGTAACTCAATAAAACGTAACACCTAGCTATCAAGTTACCACTGGAACCAGGACTTAATTAGGAACAGCAGCTGCTAATTTAGCAGCAGTTGGTCTAAACTGAATCAACTATTCGGCTTTAAATTATTTTCTGTACTGTACGTAGGCACAACGTATACACAAACGATATCATCATAAGGATAAGCAACTAATCAACGTCAGCAACTATCTCACGCCTTGATCCTGCGTGGGTGACTAACAGACTTCAGACATTATAATTAAAATATCCTATAGGACCAACTACATATATTAATGTTCTAACTAAAATTATAGACAAATAATTAAGCGATATGTTTTTGCTCTGTGTAGCTGTAGTCGAAGCAAATGTTTTAAACTAATATTCACAGTAGTAGGCAGGTATAGACTGCATCGATATAAAATTAACCGTCTACTGAAGAACCAAGATGTAATGAAACTAATGTTTGTTGTACAACTGCAAGTCGTACCTATAAGATATATTTACAAACATACAACACCTATTTATATATAAGCAAATTCAAAACAAATAGCTCATTGTTATACAGTTACTTGATTGTATTATTCAATCGCGTAATTATTGCTAATGGTTGTTGCGATTGCACGGTTTGACGCTACATATGTTCAGTTGCAATAAACGTTAAATAAATTATGCAAATATCCTGACCTAAAGAACGAAGCGAGGTGTAAAACTGAAGAATTAGGTAATGTCGTGTGTTGTACGCATGTGCTATCTTTGTTTGGAACAACAATTGGTTTACTGGACCAAGATTTTTTGTATTCCGTAGAGATGTTACGTTACGGATAGTGATTTGGCCGAATACTGAATATTCGGCTGTGCTCAAGGCTAAAGCGTAGTTACATTACATTATAATTTTCAAACAATTCAACAATTTTTGCTTAAGATACCTATGCCTATAATTTTTATACGATGATATTTGTAACTCTTTCACGATTTGGTATTCAGGTTTAGTATTCGGCCTAATTTTGAACACTAACCGTTTACCAAATAGTTGCCGTACTGCCGTATATTCGGTACCTCTAGTATTCCGACGTAACGTGCGATTTACACGCTGTTGCGTAATTCTGTTTTGTCTTTATTGAGCTAAAATATTCGCATCTACAGACGGCCTTCACTTCAGCTAGGCGACAGACGTCCCTAGCTGTTACAGCGTCAAGTGGACTCTTGTATTTGGTTCTACGCGATGAATATTAATAAAAATAGGGTTCTGAGAGGTGCATGGGCGGATGTCATGCGCCCTTTAAACCCCCTGCTATGGGGCTGTAGTCAATGACCGGGAGCCCTGTCGAGTATGACTGTCCTGTAAAAAAGTAATATAAGGAAAATGGTCTCTAAATTGTCTCGCAAGGAAATAAGACAAGATACCTTTTTACAAACGTATGAAAAGGTACATCTTTGAATGTCTCACAGATGCATTGATTTGATTAGGTAATTTAAATGTTCATACATGCGTATGATTTGAAGTACACATTTATTGTCTTAAAAGAATAGGTACTTTATTTAAATGAAAATCAATACAATTTATTTTGTAAACAGGAATATCCGTTTGTAGAGCTAGTTGAAGTGGGCTTGATAAAATTCACTTACGCTACTATGCTGTAATGATTGCAATAACAAGAAAGTGTGACGATACCTGAGCGACATAATAATACACATGCGTACATCTCGCTATGTATCTCAAGTCCATCAGAGTGCTACCGTCGGTTCTATCGGACCCTGGCACATTGCTTGGTGAATACTAAGCCAATTAATTTACCTTCATTTCCATACGGCAATTTATTGATCTCTTTCTAACATGGGACTCGGATATCGATGTTAGAATTACCTTACGTTACTTCTGAGTGCTTCCAAAATCGAATTAACGACGACAAAGATATTGAATGTCTATTTCTGTGAACTCCTCGGTCGCAAGCCGAGCTTCCTTTGACAACTCACGCCTCAAAGTGAAATATAAATAAAGAAGTGATCCTAGAAGCTTTGAACTAAATATTGAAACATAAGTAATAAAATATTTATGATTAACTACCGGGCAATAAGTTCATAAACGAAAATAACGATCTTTCATAAAATTAAGATGTTATCATAAATCAGTTCACACATCATTCCTCTCTAAATCGGGCTCTTGATGAGCTGAGCACGTCGTATATACATTTTAAATGTATCTGTAGTTAATCTTGACAGAGGTCGTTTAGGACTTAACGGGTCGCAATACAAACGATCAGGCAACAAAAGGTGTCATGCAAATAATGCAGGCGCCTCATTATAATAAATAGTTTGACAAAAGGAGTCGGTACACTATGCACCGTAGACAATAATTGTCGACGCCTCGTCTCGTTCTGTCTCCTGCGTATAAATCGGTTTTTATTCAAAACGCAAAGCACGTTCCTATTTATTTTCAACGCTTTTTTCACTAAGCAATATATCGGAGGCAACACGCAGTTTTTTAAGCTTTTTATTATATTGATATTGCGTGACGTAGAAAGATATGGACGAAACTGCGCTGCGTCGACAGACGACGAACGCTATTTGATTTATAACCCTACACTAACGAGCATATAAAGTTCAGTTCCCTACTCTTTCATTTGCACCATTGGGCTGTGTTTATGTGATTCACATTGCTCTATTTTGAATGAATAAAATTAGCTATGACGTAAAAACAAGACGCTGGTGACAAGGAAAAATGGTAGAAAAATAACTAAAACTTACACAACTGAAATCTTAGATAAGTAATGAGATATAACATCTACGCTACATGAAGTTAAATTTAAAGTGTGTGTAATAGTTACATGACATCGAGCTATGACAATGACATCACGACCCCGCTGGCTTTAAAAATACCTTCGTCATCATTAGAGCAATCACGGACTCAAACTTTGTTACCAACGTTAGCGAGCTAAATCTAGGAGATGACTGATAGGTTCACTGTACTGTATTTTGAGAAATAATTATTTTCAGAATAGAATTTACATTCACACAAGTGACTAAAGACTAAATTCAGTTCACTTCAAAGATTCTAAGTATAGACGGGAGAAAGATTTAAAGAAATCTTTGACGCATCTAATAATGTGATTGTTCAAATAGAAAGGAAATTGGAGAGGATATATTATGAAATCTAAATGCAAATAACTGGCGAAGAAATACAAATTAAAGATGAATATGAAAAACAAATAGAGGTGCATTCTATGTATTTACATTACAATGCAATAGCTAGGTAGTAGTGTAGCGTCTGCACGGAGCAATGTTGACGCTGCACTGTAATCAGAAAAGTCCTCGACATCAATGAATGTGTGCAGCTATACAAACACCAGCATATCAAAGTACCTCAAACTGCAGAATTCTTTGATAGATTTTCAACCTTACTTCTTTGCAAGTAAGTTAAAAATTAATTAAAGAATTTTAGATAAAAAGGTAACTTAACGTACGTGCTCAGTTTTTGTACTCTACCGGATCTTTATCATAACTAACATGTTTCTGATTGATGAGCTCCCCATGAGTTCTGTCATACATTTTTTGCGATTAGTTGAAATAGGTAAGAATTATCAATTAATTTTATATTCAACGACATCTTTGTTTAATTTCAATGTGAATTCTGCGTTATTTCAAGTGTTTGGTGAAGTTAATGATGCACACGATGAGGTAATTCGGGTAAATAGACCACCGCTGCTCTGCCGTCCTAGATGTGCAAGTAAAATGATTCAGAGTCAACGGTTTATCTGAACAGTCATAATTCAGTTGAGGTGAAAGGTCCGCTAATAGATATGAAGTGAACTTTTACATAGCTTTTATTTCGATTGCTTCCTCTGTTTGTATCAACGAAACTAATATAACTGAAAGAGAATGTCCAACAATTTATTATAAAAGTTCTTTATACTTATCGCAACTCAAATATTGCTTTATTGTTAGTTTATTTTTAACTAGCGACCCGCCCCGGCTTCGCACGGGTGCAATATGCATGTATTATAAGTACATACAAACCTTCCTTAAGAATCCGCATTCCATAAAAACCGCATCTAAATCCGTTGCGTAGTTTTAAAGATCTAAGCATACATACGGACATACAGCGAAAGCGACTTTGTTTTATACTATGTATTGATACTTATTGCATTTAACTACACTTAATAACACCTGGATTTAGACAAAGGACAAGCAGCATCGATACGTTTACTTTTTTCACACATACAGCATTTATTAAAAGTACCTGCGTAATAACGAATCCATTATTACTCCATTATAATCTTTTCAATACTAGGACATGATGTTGGCACAATGTGTCATGGGTACCGTCAAAAGCTAAAATCTAATCTTTCGTACATGGGTGGTCTGACGTGCAGATATTGCTAAACTAGCCGGCTCTTGAACTGTGCCTTCTCAAATCTGAGACAATCGCCTTTGAGGACAAGCCACGACCTATCCTCGACTTGATTTAAGATGTCTATCACACCGAAGCGTGCCTTTGAAGACGTGACTCCGTTTATGTCAACCCACGATTCCGAGTCCTGTTTCTTCGGTCCTATTGTTAATTAGGTAACAGAGACTGCTGTTGTTCGTAAGTTAGACTTTACATAACCACGTAGTAATAAAGACTCAATAGCGAGATAGAGATTTCGATGTAACAAACAAACGAAATTCATTTACTGTGGTTCTAAAATCCAAATCTCTCAAAACTGGAATGCCCTGCTGATTCATAGGATAGACTTGCACCAAACCATTAATAAACTACACAATTAAACGACAGGGAAAGGGTAAGGACATAATGGTGTTCCACCCTAGCCCTTGCTGGGTTTTCCCAGGATTTTATGACTTTATGTGTACCAGTTGTTGTTACTAACCAGTAAACATAGCAAGAATAAAAAAAAAACTTAAAAAATATGCTTGTAAATCTGTTAATGTTCCGATTATTATCTTAATATTGTATACCGTAAACATTTCACGTAGTTT